TCAAGTTGACAGATATTATTTAGCTGATTATGCAAATAGAATTAAAGAAGAATATCCATTCCTCTTTTCAGTTGTGGAATTTGTTTTTGATAAAATAATGAATCTCAAGACCCATAACAACTCAATCAGACAAATGCCTAGCCTAGAACAGGGGAAATGGGCAGCAGTCCCCAGTCCTAGTCAAGGAACTATTAGTAGATGATTACTGTGGGGTAAAGAGGGAAGATTTTCTTTAAGGGAATGATTCTAGATGGGCTTGACTAGACCCCAGTGGATGAACTTGCAGCGAGGGACATCTGGGTACAAGTGCTTGACCAGATAAAACTTAACAAATGTCGTGGGGGAAGGCGAGGGGTGGGGAATGGTGAGGAGGTCTAAATTTGACTAATATATGTTATATTAAACACAAAAAAAAAAACTCAGCGAAAATAAATACCATAACGAATCTCAATAATTTAGACTAGCCTATAATATATTCTTTGTGTGGCATTTATTATTATGTCAACATCATAATCACCTGAACAAATAGACTGACTCTTAAGTTGTTAAGAGTGGGGTCAAACTTGGATGACACAAGTTCCCCTAGCTGTCTATTAGAACCATCTGTCCCAGAACCATCCTGGTTCTGATGGATCTCTCTTGTTACCTCAACTTGTGCAGATGGAGCTGTCTGTGTCCTCACCCTGTGCTAATGGAACTGCCTCTGGAACTCTATTACACCCACTGTGAACCCCCACTCAGGACACTTCAAAATTATTTCTCTAGCTTCATTGGAGAAGTACAAGTTCAAGTTTGGCTCCACCCTTAATCCTCACAGAAAATATAGTCTTTTCTCACTCATCCGTGGTCAAGGAGTCCTTCCCAACCTGCAACTTCCACTGTGTCCAATGGGTGGGTACACTGCTTGCAGTGCTTGGATGTGTTAATTCTCATGCATGCTCACATTCATTCACTATCTTTGTGGGTCAAATACCAAACTGAGATTATCATGGAGATACTCTGGTCATCAGGCCCAAAGGCATAGTTTTTATGGGACTAATTAGAAGTCATTAGTCTAGAGTATGTTCATTAATAAAAGTCATTCCTACAATTTGGGTTTTTTATTATTTCATAGAAAGATATTACAGAACCATTCATTCTTGACTTGCTTTAAATTCTTTGTAAATTTATGCTGCATCTTCATGTCATTTATTGAAAACTACTTTCCAATGCTGTTTTCTCAGAAAGCTGTAAATATGTTTTCCTTTGTGTTCTTTTTATAAACATGACTGGACAAGAAGCAACTTAGTTTTTCTCTGAAATTATTCAACCTGATGTATGACAGCCCTCATTAAAGAAAGTCACTGCTTCTGTTAGCACTACTAAAGCTAAATTTATCTGTTAATTTCATAGATTTATTTATCTGAAGCCAGATTACAAGTTTCCAAAGCCTCTATATTTTCAAATACAATATATTTTCAAGATCCTTCAACACTATGTCAATGACTTTATTTTTGCTGTCTCATTAAGATACTATTGACTCAAAAAAGTTTCCATGTTTTTATATCTCTGACTCTAGTTTGAAGCTTTAAAGTAAATAATTTTGCCGTCAGCATTTCTTGCTGGCATTGCAATTAACAATTCATGTGTGTTACAGAGTTGTTTTGGCATATGCTTACATCCAGTCATAGTTAGATGAACTTTGAGAAATTGCTTCAGAATTAGGAAATAGAAAGCATTTATTTGATAAGACCTCAAAGTTTCATACAGTAATAAAGCACTATATTATTTCTCCCTGGCAACATTTTTCTCATGTTAGAAAAACTTTTTTTTTCATTTTAACTGAATTTTGGGGAATTTCATACAATGTATTTTAATCAGATTTAGACACTCTCCCCTATCTGTACCCCTTCCTTAATATCCACCAATGAATTTCAAGCACTGTCATATTTATTAAGGCCTATCAAGTCAAATTTCTGTCTCCAAGTGCCCTTTGCTATGGGTACATTCACTGGAACCTGATTTAGCTATTCAGCATTACACCATTAATAACTGACTCTTTCCCAAAAGCTATCAGTTGACAGTAGTTCCTCAGCTAGAGTTGGGACTTCTTACTCATTTCCCCATGTTTATGCTGGAATTTTGTCTGGCATGAGTTTATGTGGGACTTGTACATGCTGTCATCATTGCTGTGAGTTCATTTGAGTAATTACTAAGCTGTCTGGAAATCTTTGTTTCTTTGTGGTTATCCATCACTTCTGGCTCTTACAGAGCTTCTAACCCATCTTTAACATATGATTCCTGAGACTTGGGAGGTAGAATTTTGATATAGGTGTCCTATTATGCAATATAAGGATTCTTCAGTCTCTTATCCTCATGTTAGGCAATTGTTGGTCTCTGAATTAATAGAAAAACTTCAGCATAATTTTTGATACTGCCAAATAACTCTCAATTAACTGCCAGCTCCTGATAGATATACAGCCTCATTACTTCGACCGACTTTCAATTTGCTTAGTTTAACTTAATTGTTAACAAGTAAATGTTTTACTAACTGGTATATTATCTGACATTTGTGACTATACTCATATCATACCAACAAACTTCTCTATAATAAATAAATAAATTATGTTATGAAAACCAACTTTCTAAAAGCACAGAGATGTTTCACTTTAGGCACCTCAAGTTCTTCAAATTAAAATTTAACAGGGTATTACTACCACTTTTGATGAGTTTAGAACATATAGGCTATGAATTGTACTGGGTCATCTATGTTTTGATTATAGGAAATTTCAGATAGTATTCTTTGAAAATTAGTTAAAAATCTTATCTATAGAGATGAGGCATTGAACTAAAATGTCTTCCTAGAACATGAAAGGCCCCAGGTTTGACCCTAGTACCAGAAAAGAAAGCATAAGATTAATTGTATTAATGACCTTTACTGTTACTGTGACAAAAAATACTTAAGAACAAGTTAAGGAAGGAAAGATTTGTTTGGCTTATGTTTTATGGGTGACAGTCCATCATGGTAGGGAGGATATGGCAGGACAGTTCATGACATGCTGTGCCAAGAAACAGAGAAGGCACGGATAGTGCTCTGCTGATTTCTTCCTTCTCCTTTTATTCTGTCCAGGCCTCCAGTCCATGAGATAGAGATACCCAGCATCAGTGTGAAGTTTTCTCACTTAGGTAATCCCCTCCAGAAAGGTCCTCACAGACAAACCTTAGAGAACACTATTCATCTCCTAGGGAATTTCCAATACTGTCAAGTTGATGGGATGATAAGCCATCACAATAATAGCTGGGATAAAGAAGGAAAAGTGGAAACATGTAAAGAACCACACTGACTATTTTGCCTGTTTTGGGTCAGGTTTGAAAGCACACTATTTCTATAAATAGTTGAAGTAAAATCCCACTTAAGTTAGTTTGGCTTTTGAAATTGTCAGTATTGAAACTATATTTGACCTGCTTTGGAAAATTTCATTAAATTTTTTTGAAAATAGAAATAATGAATACTGTTACAAAATTGGAAAGTATCATATTAAAGCAATGACAAGCTATAACATGATCCTTTTAGTTTTCAATGGCAGGAACATATTTCCAGATGTTTGAGACAATAGTGAAAACAAAATTTTTAAAAAGCTATATTAAGAATATTCTACTTATAGTAAAACAAGTTTTAAGCTAAGAGGAAATTCACTCTTCCCCTTTTAGCTGTTGTCATATGAGACCATTGCCATTAAGAAAATGAATAGGCCAAGAAGCATTGGAAACTCCCTTCTCTGTAAATGTGACAATTAACGTCAGGTTTTCATGCTTTCAGCCAACCAAGTTTGACAACCATAATGGATCTGAATATTTTGAAGTATTTTATTGCTATTTTAAATGAATTATTATGAAATATTTATTAGGATGAATATACATTTTATCTGTTTAAAAGATTCCCTGCCCTCATAGATGATTCTGGTTTAAATCAGTGGTCACAAAAACAACAAAATACAAAGACATGAGTGTGGGAAAGGGAGCTGTAAGGAGGAGGAGTGGATGACAGGGGTGAGTGGGAGATGAGAGCAGGCAGCTGAAAGTAAACAGATCGCACTGCACAAGTGTGGAATTGTTGAGGAACACAAGTCAAGCAATGAAAGTAAGTCAAACTGCATTAGAAGTGAACTATTCATTAATTATTCTGAAATTATTTTTCAATTGTTTTGTTATTGTTCTGCTTATGGAGATAATATTTTAAATATTCTTCAGTAAAAGATGATTTTTACAGCTGTGTTTTTTATGATTGGATTTGAAAAAGTCAGTTGTCATACTGTAATTAAAGCATTCATTTGGCTCATTTTTAAAATATTTTATTTACTATTTTTATTTTTTGTGTATTTGTGTATTGCCTGCATGCATGTGAGTATACCTGTATTTTGCAATTCCCAGAGGTCAGAAGAGGGCATTGGATCCCGTGGAATTGTACTTACAGATGGTTGTTGGCTGCCATTTGTGTGCTAGGAATAGGTCCTCTGCAAGAGCAGCCAGTACTTTTAACTACTGTGAGATCTCTCCAGCGCCTCATTTGGTTCTTTGCATGTATATGGGAGGTGGTTTTGTGTGTGTCCTGCATGTGGAGGCCAGAGGTCAATCCTGAGGAGTGTTCCTTGAGGGCCTCTCTCTCTCTCTCTGGCCTCACTCACTCTCTCTTTCTTTCTCTCTCTCTCCTTTCTGCTCCTAATTCATTTTAAATCACAGATTACAGAACAAAATTAACCTATACTTTCAGTCTGATTTTTATGTCATAAGTAAGAAAATAAATACGTATAGGCGTAAGTAAGAAATACTTATAGGCATAAGTAAAAAAATAAACAGGAAAGAAGACATAAAACTGTAAATTTTTCAAGATACTCATTCTCTTTTATTTTTTTAGCCAGACTGAAAATATTTATAGAGATACCTGTGTTTCCCACATAACATATTTTCTGTAGGCTATATTGTATATTACTCTAAATTCTCTTCTGTTTTATTTCTTCTAGTTACTGGCTGACCAACAAAGTTCCCATCAAAAGACCCAGCACAGGTCTTCTCATGTACACACTCGCCACCAGATTCTGTGATGAAATTCACCTGTATGGATTCTGGCCATTCCCTAAAGATTTGAATGGAAAGGCTGTCAAATATCATTACTATGATGACTTAAAATATAGATACTTTTCCAATGCAAGTCCTCACAGAATGCCATTAGAATTCAAAACTTTAAATGTGCTACACAATAGGGGAGCTCTAAAACTGACAACAGGAAAGTGTATGAAGCAATAAAGCACATTTTAAAACATACACACTGAACATGAACTTTTTTTCTAAAGATGCTTCTGAAGATTTGGAAATAGGATCCAAAACAAGGCTGGGTTTCAGCATCCACCAACTGACTAAAGGCTGAAATAGGAAGTCTATGTGAAATCTACCACCAGCTGATGAAATACCTGCAAAGTGCTCTAACAATTAAATACTTTGACTTCAAGGGTCCTAGTAAGTGCCACTTCCACTAAGAATACAGTTTGAATGTATTATCAGTAGTGTTTACAAGATCCAACAGTGTACTCATCATTAATTAGCAAAGCAAATATGTTCATCACTGTAGGGCTGCCACTGCAATGCCAAGCACATTGGAAGAGGAACCCAGGAGCACATCTCAGACCTTGGGAAATTAAACCATCCTTGTCAGCAGAAATCAAGATGGAAACAGTTTGAGCAGTGAAATCCATGAGATTAAACAACTGGAGTTAATGCCTTCAGTCAGGACACTGAGTCTGATCATGTTTATGTTTTTTGTTTATCTTTTGAAGTTTCTTTTGGTTTGGGAATGGGGTGCTTAGAAATTCTATCTAAGATGCAGAGATAGGAAATGCATATGAATGAGAAAAATAACCACCAAATAATCCTTTCTAAAGTTCTTATATTTTTCAAATTGATTTTGCACAATTCTAAACCTCTAGATTATTTTCAATGGTGTAGAAGGTACCAGTCAAAATATGCCACTCAATAACAGTGAAACATTGTAAAAGAGAGATATGTTGTGTCTTCTGAGATGGAAAAATGGGCAGAAAAAATTGCACTCTTGGTACCAAAGATTATATATATATATATATATATATCATATTATATATATGATATATCATATATGTATATCATATTCCCACACAACAAACCCTTCTCCTTTCAGGAAAATAATACATTATTAACATGAACACATTGATACACTGTTAATGTGGATGAAACTTGTTTATAAATATTTTAAAATTTCCAAACTCAAACTTTATCTTTATTTTATACCATTGACATGTCATAATAATTTTGTGAAAACATCTTGCCCTTTAAAATAAATGTTGGATTGACATTGTTGAAATGTGACTTCTATATCTTTAATATCCTCATTGTTACTGAAATACAAGATTATCATGCTTTTTAGATCATTTTAACATTTCTCAGTACAGAAATATCATGATTAATAGAGCCCTGTTTTCGTCACAATGACGAATTTGAAGCAGTTTGCACAATGACAACATATACCAGCATTTTGCATTTAAATGAGCTCAACTGACCAGTATATTTCTGCACTTAAATATAGTTACACTGTGACTGATTTTATCAAAAAGAAACATGAAGTTCTTCAGTGAGTGATTTGAAACAATTGAATATGCAACAAAATTGCCTGGGAGGCCAGCTTTCTGTTTCTTTTAAAAGCAGAAGCATTGTATTCTCACTTCTTCTTTGGCCTGAAACAACTTACATGAGTTATTCTTTCTGGGGAAGATAATCTGAGGAAAGCAGAAACAGCATGAGGAATATGTACACTTTGTTTTTTTTATAGGGAGGGCACTCTGAAAAGTGAGTAAAGAGCATGGGGAAGATATTCATATATATGTGATATATGTATTCATGTTATGGGAAAGGATAGTCACAGTAGTACAACTCCCAATATTTTTAATAGTATTTGGTATTATTTTTAAAATACAATATAATGTTAGGTTCAAGGGTTCATTTTCCGAGTATTCATACATCTACAAGAAAGCAAAGTAGAATACACAGGAGAGATTTGTGTTAAAAATAAATAAACTCAATATACTTTGTCATTAAATTTCTTATCTATTCAAAAATTTTAGAGTTAGATACATGCTACATGAATGTCACATTGAAGGTATGATTCACTTAACAAATGAAAAGTAGGAGATTTATGAAATCTTAGTTTGAACTATATGCATTAAGTTATTCCAGCAATATTTGACGTGGATTTAATAGATATCTAGAGGTCACTAGTAAATTCTTATAAATTAATACTAACTTGGCTCTTATTCAGAATAAGTCTTTAAAAGCATTAGCAAGATATCTTACCATTTTTACTACATTTTCAACAAACATATTTAAGAAACATTAAGGCCATAGTAAGCACACCACAGCCATTCCCTTTTGTGTGCATTGATGCTTATTCTTAGATGCATTGGGTAGTGCCTTTTAGCTTCTTCACGTTGATTTTTTTTTTACCTTCTGCTTTATGTTATCTAAATGTTTGCCCAGCTATGAAAATGTTCCACATCAAAAGGGCTCAGATTTGAGAGAAACTAACTTTTGTTCATCTCAGGGAACTTGCAATATGTAAGAATGAATTCAATTAAAGATACTTATTATTGAATAAAGGGCAAATATTGTGATAGCATTTCATTCCTAATGTCACCTTTTCATTTGCCCTCCCACTTCAACACCTACTGTGGCCTTCTTAAGGAAGAAGGCAAGGGGACAATTGAAACTACTCATGAGAATGAAGAAAGAGCTGAGATTTAACCAGCAAGCTGCATGTGAAATGATAACAACATCAAATTATAAGTGTATACTTGAGGTATCTGGATTTTTCTTAGTATCTTATGCTCACAGCTTTAATATTTTCATTTCCCTTTTCATGATTTAACCATGTACCTGGCAATGTTCAGGCAGTTGGTTGTGAAATATTCTTTTCTTTGAGGTTACATGGTTGCTGTTGTGCTATTGACATGAATAGACCATGAAAATATTCTCGTTATTATTTCTCAGACTGATCTGTATTTAATACTAAGTTGCTGAAATAAAAGTAAATCAGTAACAGATTTTCAGGGGCAAATCTTGTGATTTAGCCCACAGGAATGACAAAACTACTGTGGAAGTTTGTATAGCTGAAAGAAGGTGCTGGGCATTCTAATGTCTTCATGTGTTGTATATCATATGAACTGTATATCAATTGTTAATGAAAAATTTTACATAAATGCTTTCAAACATACATTTATTTAAAAAGTGCTAAGGGTAGTGTACATACCAACTAGTTGCTAAGCTACTACGCAAGAGAAGGGTAAGAAAAGTAATTTATTTCTAGTTGTGCAGTTAGTCATAATGCATATTATGTGATATTTGGTTCAAAAAGAGTTGTTTTGTGTGATTATTGTAAGGACTATCTATAATTGTGGAAGGGGAATGGGAAAAGTTGTGTATAGTTAGTTATCTCTACAGGTTTGGAAGTTTCCCCATCAAATGTTATTACACACAAATGTTTTAAAAATTGAATGAGGGTAATCGTTTTGTATTTGATAAAACAAAAATCCAAATAAAGCCCACCTAGAAATAGATATTTTATTATATATGTGCTATAGATATATCTACATAGTACAAATAGACATATGTGATGCATATATACCATGTTATATATGTGTATCTGTGTGTATACACACTGAGTCTGTAATATGTGCACAACTAGATTTGTGTTATACTAACATCTTCAGGGTCTACCATGTGAACTGCCCTGGAGACCAACAAGACCAGTTTAAAATAAAGAAGTTCTTTTGAAACTTCAGTTACTAATTTGCTTTTAGAGACCTACTTTATAACCTAATTGTATGTTGTTCTTTCCTAGAGTGACAATAAGTGACTAATATGTCCAAATCTTTCTCTAAAAAGTAAAGAAAAAAAAAGTCCTCAGCTAGCAATGTAATTAAATTGCGGTTTTCAGATTGTGGGTCCAGGTCATGTGTTTCTCATTTAAGTAGCAATTTTAATAAATACTTTTCTTTGTGTAAGTGAAAGCACAAGTGTTTTAAATGTATATAGCAGGAAGAAAAAAAGTTTACAGAGACAGCATTGCTGCATAGGGTAATAGCTACTGAGTCTTATACCATTTGTGGAATGAGAAAATGAGTTTTTTCTGTAGGTTTTTTCTGTTAAACACTGTTCCATTTTTGTTTATGTATAGCATTTGGGTATTATTGCTTTATCATTTGTATAATCGTAAAATAAACTAAACTGCGTTTTTCAATTTTCCTCTGATCATTTCTATCCATGCCTCTGTTCTCACTTCATATATCAGTATCGGGTGATAATTTCTAAGAAGCTTTTATCACTGCTTTGGTCTACACCAGCCTTGAGCCCCAGTGATTGGCAACTGGATAAATATTTAAAGTGTATTCATGGACATTTGAGCAATGTCAATAACAGCATGAATATCAGGAAGTCTTTAACAATTTTTGGTATAGCACATTCTGTTTGTGGTTTTGAGATTGGATATTTACACAATATATTGCCATTTCTGTGTAGTTTTCACTCACTTTGTCTGATATAACAGTCACTTAATCTTCATGGCTAAAGTGCTGATGACTTCTTTTACACTATCTTTTCTACACTGTGCTGTCCATTGACTTGTGATTTCATCAGCAAATGGCTGAGGTTTACAGTTTGCCTTCCAGAAGGTGATTTTTGAAAGACTACTTACTTAAAGCTTTTTCTATTTTTTCAATAACTTGAAAATCTATGCTTTCAGACATTAGACTGTTCTGGGAAACATTTTAAAGGTAATTTCGTGAGCTCCTTTTTTTCACATTCTACCATTTTGAATCATTTGCTATAGGTCAGCAAGGAACCATTATAAAAGACAAATACACTTAGATGTTGCTTTTTTTTTATTTTTGTGTAGTTAGATTTACTTTCAAAGATTCATTAATAATAGTTTGCTTTGTCTATTCTTGGAATTCAGTCAGATCACATAATGCAGAATCCATATTCTTATGGCAGAACTCACAGAGCTTGATGTCAAGATTGTCTACTATAAATTCATTTTCTAAAATGCAATGTCAAAGATAAGTATTCTACTGTTAAATGTTAGCATACATATCACTTCAAAATAGATTACAGTGTATTCTTATCTGAATTGTAGCTAGATTTCCTGTTATCATTCTCTTAAGTACGTTGTTCGACATGCTTTGCAAAAGAATAAATGACATATCATAGCACTATTCCAATGAGGACTCAGAGATTAACAAAGAATTATAGTATATTATAGATTCTGAGAAAATAAATGTATTAAATTGTTACAACTTTAGTACATTTTAAGAATCATAATACACTGTTTACCAATTTAATTTTTTTTAATTTATTTTACTTTTATGCATGTGATTATTTTACCTGCAGATAAATGCACTAATTTGTTGTATAGGACTGTCCTTCAACAGGGATACCACAGACAGACATGGTCTTCCCATGCTTGGTTGCACCCACTTGCCTATAATATTCACAGCTGACCTTGTTGACTATTACTCTCTGCAAGAAAGGAGGGGCAAGGAGTCAGCCACACCTCCTAATCAATCATTCACTCCTAGTTGCAGGAGAGGGATGGACTAAGGGTATACAAACTAAGGAAGCTGAGGGGAGACGTCATTTTGTGTAGCTGTGGGGAAGTCTTCTTGCTTAGGTGAAGACTTTTCAGTGACCTTCTGAGGGGAGCACCCATATTCCTATAAGTAAACCCTCACCCACTGCTCTGTAAGTAGTCACTGGTTTCCTAGGCTGCAGTTTGGCAAAATTGTACCTCAGTTTGTCATAGGGATGGGGTAGGTATTGTTTACACCTCCCTGAAGGAATTTTAGCTACACCATATCATGTAGTATCTTCAAGAAAAGGGCATCAGATCCCCTGGAACTGGAGTTTCAGGTGAACTGGCCAACATATGTGTGCTGGGAACCAAATCTGGGTCTTCTGAAAAGGCAGCCATTGTTCTTAAATACTGAGCCATCTCTCCAGCCCTAGATTTACCAATTTTTGTAAAA